ACTAATTGTAAATTTTGATTTAAATCACTCTATTTCACAAAATAATCTGTTGTCAAATTATTTTTAAAAAATATTAGTGGTTTCAGGGTTTCAATGAACACTTTTTTATTTTGTCCAAACTAACAGTCATGGAAATAAAAATGCTAGAAAGTTAATCTTCCGTTACATGTGTGAGCCACTGTATCTGCAAATTTGAACGAGAAATAACGATTTTTAATCTGATCCGAAATATTTCGGGTCATGTTTCACACCAAACCGACCCGATCCAAAGTGTGCGGTTCGTATCACGGATTTGACCCGACCCGATTGGAGCACTACTTCGGACAACCCGTGTTGGAGTGTAATGGGGAGTCATCCTCCGAGTAAGCTGCACAGTCCCTTACGGTTGCGCACAACGGCGAATGGCAACTTTCAGAGTAACTGCACGAGAGCTTATCCTTAGCACTACACTGCTGCTGATAACATAATCTACTTACGTATATTTCAGAACATTAGCGCCAAGACGATCTCAAATCGGACACATTAAAAAATAAAACATAGCATGACACTTAAAAGACGGAAATAAAATTAATGATCTTTGAACCATTACACAGAGGTAATACAAAAAAAAGGAGGCCACCAATTTGTAGTTAAGCAAATTTACGACCTTTTTTTAAAAAATATTACTTATACAGTCAAAGTCCTTTACAACGGCCGCATTGGATTGGTGCTTTTGAGCTGGTATATAGTGCTTATCTTATAAACTTCGATATATAGGGAGTTTTTAAATAGTTAGGGGACAAATATCCATTTTGTTATAGGGACTCTTCCCCTCCCCCTTCTGAGATTTCATTTAACACATGCACGTGAGATTCTATTAATACCTGAGATTTGGCCATCCCCCTTCCCAAGTGACAACACTGCCCTTCCCCCTCTTAAGAATATTAGCTAATATTTGTCACTCCCCTTAAAAATCGCAAAAATCGGGATATCTATACGATATAAGCCGAATCCGATGTATACAGCGCCGTTTTAAAGGACTTTGACTACTCTGTTTTCGTACGATCGATAATAGTACCCTAGCCATGGCAAAAAAGTGTCGGATCACGTGCTACTGGTGGCACAAACTAATAAAAATTTTTGATCAGCCCTATAAAACAAATCCGACATAAGAAAATTGAAAAAGCAAAATACGGAAGACAGATGCCTAAATCTAGCTTGGTAAAAAAATGTCGGGAAGGCAATTTTACATATAATATTGGCTCCAGCTCTAGCCTTTTGGACATACACAAATATCACATGATCCGACCCATGGGTAAACTACCCCTTCACGTGATTTTTCCAAACCTGAAGATCTCGAAACCAATGAGGATGCGCAAATGTCTTGAGTTTTAAAGATATAAATTAATGACCATGAAAGAAACCTTGAGCTCCACGTTTACTTTACACGTCGCGTTAGATGCATACATGATTTCCGATTTTTCATAAATATAACGTTAACGTTAGTAGACTAGTCGTGGCAGGAAAATTCCTCGATCACGTGATCACGGAAAATTAACTTTAAAAGGATATTTTATCGTTCGGGTTAGGGTATGAGTTAAAGTGGAGGACAAAATTATATGTAAAATTGTCTTCCCAACATTTTTATTAATGATTTAAGCCAGATTTTGATATCTGTTTTTCGTATTTTTACATTATTCACTTTTTGTGTCGAATTTGTTTTGCCGGGTTGATAAAAAATTTGCTCATTCATATTGGTTTGCGCCACTCGAAAGGATGTTCTTATTGGATTACGCCACATAAAGCTCACATGATCGAGAAATTTTTCTGCCACGACTAGTCTACTATAAATAACGCACATTAGATGGATCTGTAAATTGTTATTGTAAAAACAGAAACAAACCTCATAATAAACTGACGCATCGCGCCTTTAATTCTCCGTCATGGGCAATAAAGAGCTTTCTAGGTGGTTGAGATCTGGCGTTATTGAACAAACTATTAAGAATACTCTCCAATCCACCTTAGACGTATTATATAACGCTTGTCTGCTGAAGGTTTCCAAAGAGTTTTTACGTAACTCTATACGATATTGTGAACAGCGGTTTAGTCTTCCATGAGAAGTCCACAGCTCACCCAACTGTATTTGGTTTGTTCAAGAAAGAAGGATTGTCGTCTTCTTCCAATCGGTACAAACCATTCACTGTCTTCAAAAAAAACGCGATTATACGCGTCTGCTGTTGGGCCACACACCACAATTAACAATTATAATGACAGAAGTACTCGTGACTTCTCTCCTCCACCAGTGAAACAAATGTTTTCTTTCTCTGACGGTGAACAAGGAGCAGTTGTCGAGCCTTTGATTAACCTTGTCGAAAAGGTACTCTACAAGTTTCTTGTTAACAACGAGAGCATTATCCCCGCCGATGTTGTGGAAAGTCTCGCCGCCGAACAGCGTCCCCTGATCAGCACTGACTTTAGCAACGCCGATTTTCTGTACATACTCAACTTCATAACCGAGAAGATTGATATTTTTTTGAAGAAATCAGTCTTCCATGGCCAATACAAGGCGAATCCTGTTGAGCTTTTCAACAACTTCAAGAACGTTTGTCACAAGATGACGCATGGTATCGTTGTAAACGAAGTAGGTCGTTGGAGCGATCATGCACTTCAACATGTCGCTCTTTTGGCATGTGAGATTTTCCTGTCTTGATAAGTAGTTTATGAGAGGAACTTGACTTCACGTAAAATTGTGACCCGACTGACTTTTTTTCAGGTGGGAACTACGAGGAAGTGTACATTACCAAAGAGGGGATTAATAACGATGTAGTATGGTGATGGATGAGCAAGACAGTAGCCGGGATATCAGCAGAGGGCGACAATGGTGACCAACCGCCGAAGAGAAAGCTCGAGGACACTGACTTTGGCAAGATGGCAGAGTTCGTTCTAGATGTCCTCGATGAGGTTGAAGATACGGAGAAGGGACAGAAGATAATGAAGTTGACATTGAAGGAGGACAAGTATTTTATGCAGATATGGAGGCGGTCGGGATTCAAGAGAGTAAGAAGGAGCAAGTCCACAATTTTATTCGGTTCGTGAATCTGGTGTTCGATGTCGTGAGTATTAGATTTCTACATGATAAATCACATGGTAATTTAAACTCAGATCACAGCGATCATGGCAAGAGGCAAAGAAATGGAAAAAGGCGTCAGGAATAAGTTATTTTATGTAACATCGATTCATTGGATAAAAAAATAAAGGACTTTCTATTCATATTTATTGTTTTATAGGATAGATGTAGTATATAATGAATCTAAATTACGTCGAGTCATGGTCGAATACCCGATTACACGCTAAAGAATAAAAATGGGGCTCGCACGAGTGTATTTGGTACAGTAACCAGCCCCAAATGTCAAAAGAGCATAAAGTTTACTGGAACATCTACCGTGGTGCTATAATGCGAAGGATGCCTGACATTAATATCAATAAAACAATACCTGAACGAAAATAATATGGTTATTCCGGAGAAATACGACTTTTATTAAGAAATCGTTATACATATGTAGATCAAATTTCTTACACGCGTAACACCATTTCGACGATCCTCATAATTTTGGTAAAATCGGTTTGGACCCCGCATCATGGGTCTAATGTTCTATCCCTTAAACAATGCTTTTATTTGTATCTTCAGTTCTCTTAAACAATGCCTTTATTATATCGATATCTTGTGTTCTCTTCAAATCGCATTTTCTTAAACTACTACCGTGCAAAATACCCCCCGGGGGGGGGGGGTACTAATCAAGAATCTCAAGAACTAATGCAAGAATCGGTCTTAAGTGGCTAAGTAAATATGTAGAAAACATGATTTCATACACCTTATCGTTATTAGTCAAAAACTGATTAAAAAGCCAATTTTGAGAAACCTACAGGGTACATAATATTGGGGGAATACTATCGAGGGGGTATTTTGCACGGTATTTTACGGTAATTGTTGGATTTGATCTTGTTAATTTTTTTTGATTTTTTTTTTGAACAAGAAGAGAAGAACATATTATAATAAATTATTATTGATATCTATATTATATAATTATATAGATTACATAATTGGTTACGGATAAAGTTATATGATTTAATAATAAATCAACTTTTTAATATAAATTTGAAAATCAGAAAAATAAATATATAAAGCACAAATTTTTGCTTTATCATTTTCACTCTATTCTTATATTTCTTTAATATTATATTATTTTTTCTTGTGAATATTTGCTTACTTTTATAATTCACTATTATAATATAGTAAGAATAAAAAGTTTTGTTTTGTTTCAATGTTATTGTTTAATACACATTGTAAATTGTATTCAATAGCTTTTTATTAGTAAATATAATTATAATTTACTTATTGAATTTTTATATTTATTATTATTTTTCCTTTCATTTTATTATTATTATTATTAATTCTAATTTGTTAATATTCAGTTAAATTTGCATAATATTATATATAATTAAAATAACTTAAATTTTTTATTTATATATTATTTTATTAAATCTTTGCTAAAGCTCAATTTTTATTAAAAGAAAAATATTATTGTTATAGCAATATAATTTTATAATTTCTAATATAATTTCAATATAATTGTTATCAATTTTTTTAATATTAATATTAAATATATATATATGGGGGTGAGTCAACAGAAACCAAGCAAATTATATATGTAATACATATATAATTTGCTTGGTTTTTGTTGACTTACCCCCATATATATTAATATACTTACTTAATACAAATTTATAAAATTGCAAATTCATAAAAAAATATTAAAAATCTATTTTTTAAAAAACTTAAAAAGTTTTATTTTATTTAAAATTTTATTAAAAAAGAATAAAAAAATAAAAATAGTACAAACAATTAGATTAAAATATACTTTTAATAATATAAAAAATTATAACTTTTAATTAATAAATTTTATAAATATAATTAAAAAGTTTTATTTTATTTTTTGTTATATTAATATTTTTGTATTAAATTATATATAATTATAAATTATAATTAAAACTTTCAAGTATTTTATTATATATAATTTAAAATAATTAATAAAATAAAAGTATTCAATATTTTTTTATATTTATTTATATTTATATCAAAGATAAAATATGTAATATTATCAGATTAAAAATTTTCATTCAAGAATTAATCAAATTATACAATTTTATTGATTCCAAAACAAATTTTTTTGATCTAATAATAATATATATTTTATTTTTAAACAAGAATTTTTAATATCAAACAAGTATTTTTATTTTATTTAATTAGTTTTGCATTATTTTTGTTTTATTAATATTTTTTAATATAAAAAGAATAAATTAAAAAATTTTGTTATTATTAATTTTAATAATATTAGAATACTTTATACTATATAAAAATATTAAAATAATAAATTTGTTATATTTTTTATATTATTACAAAATTTTTTAGCTTTATTCTTTTTTACTTTTATTTTTTTAAAATTCTAATAAATTTAGTATAAATTAATATAAAACTTAAATATTTTTTTATTATTAATTTATTAATAAGCAAATTTGTAATAATATTTAAATTAAAAATAAAAATTATAAAGAAAATAACTTAGAAATATAATAAATATATCAATTAATAAATAAAAATTAGAAAATATACTAATTTATTAAAAAAAAACAAAATAAAATACAAAATATTTCAGATTATTTTATATTTACTAATAAAAAGAAAATATATTAGAATATTATTAGCATGAAAAGTAATGACATGTGTGTTTGTTGCTTATATCTTAATTAAAAAATTTTTAAAAGTTGTGAAAATTTGTAGATATATTCTTTAGAATGTTAAAAACAAGATTTTTTAATATCATAAAGCACATTAACATAATAATATTTTGCGAAATTTCATGTCAAATGTGACGAATTGTAATTTTTAACATTTAAGGAATAAAAAATTATTTAAAAATATTTTTAATAAAAATTTTGAAAAGAATTTTATGAAAATATATTTTGTGACATAAATAATATATTTCTAATTTAAAAAAGTGATTCATTTTTATTTAATAAATATCATTCAAAAGAGACTTTTCAAAATTTCTTATTAAAAATATTTTAAATAATTTTTTATTCCTTCTTAAATGTTAAAAATTACAATTCGCCACATTTGACACGAAATTCCGCAAAATATTATTATGCTAATGTGCTTTATGATATTAAAAAATCTTGTTCCTAGCATCCTAAGATATAAGCAAAAAACACATCCGCCATTACTTTCCGTGCTAACTGTACCTAAACTAACCTATAGGTTTTGGGACCCATCTTTATATACAGGAATGCATTATTAGTGTTAACTTATGAGATAAATGGCATCTCAAAGTTCTTTTGGTTAAATGTAATACAGTCGAAACTCGTTATAGAGAAATGATTTTTTAATATAACAAGTTTTTCAATATAGCTAATAATTCTTCTATATATTTTGTTTTTGGGAGTGATAATTTTTTTCGTTAAATGCGAATTTTATTCTATCGCATGTTCTTTATAACGAGTTTATAGAATGTGTTTATTTTTGGTTACGTATTGATAATGGCAGCAATTTCGAATTACCGTTACATTACTTCTCCTGATCCGAGTATTTCGTCTCATCTGCAAAATATGATCTGTTTTTCTGAACTCCATTAATGTCAGTCAAATCCACTATATATAATTCATATCGGAATTAAAAGATCCAGGTTGAAACCTTAAACGTCAAAGGCTTAACGAAGCTTTGTAATGCCAATATAATCGTAATTGTTTTACATACGAAAAGATGTTATTAACCTCAATTCGTAATCTCTAATTTCGTGTCTGAAGTATATCTAAACCGATTGATCTTATTAAAGAAATTTTTGAATAATATCCGTGATTTTTTTTTTAGTTCATAACAGTTATGTTTTCACCAGTCCAAAAACCTAAGATAAAAAGCCTGTATTATTTTATCATAAATAAATAATGAGACATCAAAAAGTTATTCATACTAAACTTGTTCATTTGGCAATATGACAGAAATACACTTTTATTAAAAGAATCATGAATCTCTTCTTGCATTATCAGCGAGTCATAAAGAACAGAACAAAAATGATGTTACTGCTAGTAACCAGAATGGTTACCTAACACGGAAATTGAAATAATATACAATCTTTGAAATGATAAAGAAAAAAGGACCTTGAATACTCGAACGGAAAATGCATTTTATGTCTGTCTTCTATTAGTGATTTCTTTTATATATATACACAGTACTTATAAAGAATAACGTTTTAGAGAGAAAATCTTCATTATTAGTTTATGCAGAGAAATCCAGACTTAGAGAAGTTTACTGTGTATATGTCAGTGTGTTTATTAAGAAAAATTATTCTCATGTTATTATTGAGGTTGCCTGGCAAAACCTATTTTAACTAATTTAAAAAGTTTAAATTCTAATATACTTTTGATTTTTGACAGGTTTTCTGTGACACGATTTTTTGTTCGCAACAACTCTTCAAGTCCAGCATTATGAACACATGAGTCAGTGAACCTTGACTTAAAGTAAACGCATCAGTATCGAATTATGCCACAATATAGGCAATTTCGCATCATGCAAAATCATATTTTGTTCGAGGATTTTGACTATGTAAACCAACAACCATGTGTTCACACTACCTAAAAGAGCTAATATAAATAGCTTTTCAACGAATCAAACCAATGTTTTTTTAATAGACAAAAAAATCCGTTTTGGGCATATATATAAAATTCTCGACTTGAGTTGATGTTCCAAAATTTTCCAATAACAAATGGGAATTAAGAAATTGAATTTTAAAGTTACGTACAATTAATGCATGATTTAAAACTATTAAAAAACCTTATAAATTAAACTCTATTTATGGGACGAAAAGTGATTACAATTTACAGATTCATACTGTACATAATGATAACAAATGTGAGAATAACTTATCCATATACGCCATACAAAACGAATTGTCAATAATTCCTGTACTTATATAGTGGGCGACAAAAGTTTTTATTGGTTATATGAAAAAATATTTATACTACAGATAAACCTTTCTAAATACATGCACTCTCTCTCTCAATGCACTGCATAGCTCAGTCCCAGCTTATAAGAGCTCTATGTGTTTTGCTCTCTATAAGTGCACATCTTCTCTAAATGCACACTCTGTCTTGGTCCCAAGGGGTGCACTTAGAGAGGTTATATGTATATTCATTTTAATGTAAAGAACAAGTTTACTTTAGAATAAAAATACAATTTATAAAAAATTGCCAATAAAATATTTTTATTTTTACATAATAAATAAATCATTGAAAGTTAAATAAAATATAAAAACACATTCTTTATGATATAAAAAACAAGTTTATTCAAGATCATATCGATATATAAACAATTATTTAAAGTTTTATTACTACATTTTTTTTAAAGTTAAAGAAGCAATTAAAAAAATATCAATAAGACATTCCATAAAGTAGCCCGAAATAAATCCACTCTATATCTTATAGTAGTATTTCTTTAAATTTTTATCAATTATTCATTAAAATACAAATAAAAATGTAAATTGCGAAAACTTTTGTCGCCCACTGTAATTTGTTAATATTATTCGATTTGTGTTTAAAGAAAGGCCAATAATGAAATTGAATAAAATATGCACAAAAACTATGAGAGGAAGCCAAAAGTCTCGCGTTTTACTATAAAATCTATTAAATGTTTTTCCTTTACAAGGATAACGTGATTTATTCTGAAACTTTGAAAACAAAAAATTTTGTTATTGCTTGCATATTGTTTTGTATATTACGTAGATACATATGCTATGCTTATGGGATCAGCTTTAGCATAACGATATAGAAGACATATCGATATCGATATACGCTTCGTGTCATTAAATACGTACGTATTGGTTGCTATGCAGAAATTAGAGTTGATGCACATTTAGATAACAATGTAAAATGTGTTATCACGTGAACCTATTGTTATACAAAACTACATAGCGATCGCGTATTTGGTATCGGTATCAAGCAGTGCAAAAAAATTTGATTCATAGATAAGAAACTAGAATTCTAGTGTTGCGTACGTACGTATAATGATAATGAAAGAAAAAAAAAGAAACTAGTATTTAATCTACGACACATATCGATATGACGTACGCACTTGCTTTGCTTACATGCACATGCTTGCATATGCGTTTTCGCTATTGAAACAATAGGTTTAGTTGGTATCCAATGTGATCGAATTTTTTATCAAACTCAATAACCATACAAAAAAGATAACAATGCAATAAGAAAATACTTTATTATGAGATCCAAAGATTAGAACTTGCATATTATTGCATTACGCAATGTATAGAATACTACGTACGTATTTTCTTATATAAAAGAAATTTTTTTACCTTTATTTAAAATGAGACATTTTTTCTCGATATTTATTGACGCAGTAAGAAAGAAGCTTCAATAAAAAAATAATTGTGGAGTTCCACGTTTTCCTTATTGATTTGTTCCCATATTGCATACACGCACATATGTGCATTGTATACAATAACTTAACAAAAATTTTTTCTAAGATGTTTTATCCGAGATAATTTTTTTATCATGCTAAAGAAAGGTTTTTTTCATTACGTGCCGCTTGAAAAACTTGTTTTATTTTTATTTTTTCTTTCAAATGCAAAATAAAAGTTTTACAATCATACGATGGATTATTGCCAGTGATTTAGACGTGCGGGGGGTTTTTTTTATCATGAGACACTTGTTCTTCATTGATGTCTTGCTGCTACTGTTGATATTACAGTGATAAAAACGAACGCTTATTATTAAAAAGGAAGTATGCACATAACGATAATACGTTCGCAATTGGCAGGTCATCTCGAAGAATCTTAACTTTTGCATCTTAAAGACTTTGTTAAGTTTAACTCCATGTTGCATTTTCTTTTTGCTCATGATAATGATAATGATAATGATAACGATGACAACTATGGTGTCAAACTGATACCTTTAAGGGGTAGGGCACAGATATCAACTTATCGGTATTCTTAATAATATAATTGGTTTCCCCCGCTCAAAATGTAGACAATAACGAATAAGAAAAAGTTAAAAGCCTGGGGAAATTCGGAAAAATAAATACACGTTTTGCACAGTCTCCTACATATGACGAATGATAACTTTCAAACTTAAAAAAAGTGTGCTAAACTATATAGTAGATACAATGCATTTCCTTGTACAAGTATGTAGTATTCGAGTAAGCAAAAATTCGAGGAAGCAAAAATTCAGAGTGGAACTCGCAAAAATTTTTTCCCTCTATTGTCAATCCCACTCTCCATTTCTTTGTTTGGCTCGTTTGTTTGGTTGCTAACAAGTGTGTGTTCGTATCGGTATATACGTAGAAACAATGAGTACATGTACTATTATAATCATCTTCATCATTAGCAATCGATATGTGAAATAATCTCAGTTTTGATGGATATTCTTATTACATGTACATGTACGTATATGGCTGACACTGTTATCGTTATTGATAACAGTTTCATTCAATCGAATTATTGGAAAAAACCTGTCGTCTGCTCGTTCATTTTTCATCAACTCGATACTAAAAAAATTCAACTAATTACGCTTTCATTTCGGATGTATTGACTTAATTAGCACTAGAGTTAACTGTCTTTGGGTTCCAACATTTACAATAAACACTTTTTACAATAAATCATTTATTACAATAAAATACTTCTTACAATAAACACATAAAAATTAATTTGCGAGGGAATACCGACGACACTGTGATGTGACTATAGTTAGTCATAATGCAAAACCATTCATTTTATTCTTACTATTCGTGTGTTACTCTGGTAGTTTTGCGTCACTTGTTGCGAATAAGCGTATACCATATCCGGCTCCCACTTTAGCCGTAGTAGCAAAAAATTCGATTTTAAAACCATATGTTGCGGACGAATTCTAGATTCTAAATATCTTTTTTGTTAGTTTTTCTTACACTTCTCTTTTTTCTAATTATTGCAATCCTTATAGCTATTACTATTATTCTTACTTATTTACAATAATTCCTATAACTACTTTAATTATTTTATAATTATGTTATAGAAAAGTAGAATAGAAATAGATAATAGAAGTAAAATAGAAATTAGAAATAGAATAGAAGAAACGAACGAAAAATGAAAGTATTTCAATTTCATAGTGATTCAGAAAAGAATCACGAAAAACCCACAACGAGAATTAAACCAACAATCAAACCGATAGTAATATCACCAAATGAGTACGATGAAAAGAGAGGCTACGCGCACCAGAACATGGAACCCGACTTCTGGAAAACGAGAGCCGAAGAAACAGCACGACAACACGACTCGGAACGACAATTATACCAAGAAACATTCATCGAAAACAACAAACTAAAACAAGAAGTCGCTCGCCTCGATCGTTGGGTTGTTCACTTGCAAGATGCGAACGAGCAGGCCGCGCAAGATCTAATAAAGAACCTGGACACGATCGATGAATTGAAGATAGAATGGGAAGAAGCATGTAAGAATTTATGTCATGTGAGTGCACATCGAGAACTTGTGACAGAAAACGAAGTGCTGCAAAAACGGGTGAAAGAGCTGCAGAAAGTTATTACGGATTATAACAAGTCTCGTAGAATATCTGAGCAACAGCAGCAACAAAAGAATGCTGAAAATAAAAGTAGGCTCGCTAATCATAAAAATAATAAGAACAATTCTTATAGTCTAGAACAACTTAAAATCGATATAGAGAATTTGGCAATTGCATTACGTAAGACGACCTCGCTACAAAATAGTGGTTTCGTAATCAACGAAGAAGCAGCAAAACAATTGCTTGATCAGTACGACGTGAAATATTATCCAGGCGAACATTTACCCAGGAATCTAATTAGTGCAGCTTTACAACGTCGTATAATCGAGACAGTATTAAATGGAATGAACACTCATTTCAACTATTCTGTCCGCTCGAACGATAATTCAGCAATTGACTGGAGTACACAACTACTCCGCCGCAAGTCAAGATCCAAAGACCACTCGAAATCATCAAAAAAAGAAAACGGGATAGATCGACAAATAGTATCCACAATGGAAATACTGGCCGAACAATTCACCGTATTCTCGAAAACAAATCCAGACGCAAAACTTTTGTCGGACGACTCGAAAATACAATTGCGACAATTGATCTTCAATTTACTCGGTTCTCGCACTTTCGAAACATCCGATTCGTTGATTATCGATTCAATATGTGCAGAGATTCTTGAAGGATTAGAAGAAATTCGCACAATTCCATCCAGCAAGCAACGCGTTCTGTTAAAAAAACAGGACGAACAAACGATACGACAATGTATTTCCACTCTATTCTTTAAGCTTGCCGCGCAACATCCTAAACTGCATATCGAATGGCTGCAAAAGCGAACTCCTGTCGATGAATCCATAATGGATTTAACTTGGATTGACGACGACGAGTCGATCGAAATTTGCTCTTTTCCATTGATTAAGGTGACAGAGACTGGTGAAATTGTGTTCAAAGCACATGTTGAGGCTTCTTCGGAAGGAACGAAATGTGGCGATGACGTGGGATTGATCTCGATGATCGAATTGGACGATGACAATGAAAATGAAGAGAAAGCGAGAACGAAAGATAATGAAGAATTATCACCATCATCACTCAATATTGAGAATAAAGTTGCTGAAACCAAATGTAAGGTTTAAAATTTGTACGACTTTTGGCATTACTTTTACTTAACATTTGCTCCAATTTTTTTTAATAGCAATCATCACAGGTGTATCTCAATTTACCGAAGAGCCAGTGTCAATTAAACCAACTACAGAAGCTCCTAAAAAAAAGTAAATTCTAATTATTTTTGATTCTGACATATTAATTTCTTCCACTAATTAATAAATTAAAATCTTTTGCAAGCAGAAAAGAACCGGTTCATGTTGCCAAAATAATCATCCCCAAAACGACCTCCAAAACAACAATTCCAAAATCTTCATTAACATCCTCAATGACAACAAGCAAAAAAGAATCGGTTCATGTCGCAAAAATAATAAAACCCAAAACGACCTCCAAAACAATAATTCCAAAATCTTCATCAACACCCTCGATAACGACAAAACCAACGACACCAACAGTACCAAGAAAAGCTGCTGACTCCTCGTCTTCTCGACGACAATCAACATATATGGGAAGTTTGGCATCGTGGGCTACATCATATGTTCCGCCAGTTGTTCAAACCACTGTTCAAACAAATATCACGAAAATAGTTCCCACGTCTGTTCAATCGAAATTCGATCAATATCTTCCGTATTTACCATTCAGTCATAACAATACTAATAGCAATAATAACGATAATAACGATAATAACGATAATAATGATAATGATGCTGATGATAATAATAATAATAATTAGCAAAAAAAATAATAATAATAGCAATTAGTAATAGAAAAATGGCGCGGGAGAATTCTTTAATTTCTAATTTCTAAATAGAAAAACCCATCATTCATATTGTAAAGTCAAGTTTGGTTTATTTTTACTCATTAGCTTAGCATTTTTAGTATATCTCATTTGTATATATATCAAGTTTATATTGTCAAATACAAAATAAAGAATCATACACAAATTGAATCGTTTTCATTCAAATTAGCATGCACTCTGAAAATTTAGCCTGGATTTATCAATGTGATTTACATACACGTATAAATATCGCCGATAATCAAAGGATTTGTGTCTCGTGAAGCCAATTATGTATCGCATAACAAACATACCAAAACCCAAATTTTACTTGAATTATTGTACATGTTCAATAATAAATGCTAAAGCATTTTCAATTATGATCGTCATTTTCTTTACAAAAAAGTTATTTCTATTGAAAAGAAATTGTTTCGTTACTAAGTATAGTTAGATGCAATACTCAGAGTTAGCGGAGCTTTTGAGAAACAAACAATCGTTGAAAGGTACCGTATTTAGCAGAAATACCACCATTGCAATAACCCTCCATGATTTGTATCTGGTATAAATCAAGAAACAAGTTATATTATAAATCTCATTGTTAATTACCCAATCTTAAAAAAAAACCAAAAAACTATTTAACTCACAATATATATATATATATTCTCTAACTATTAATAAAAAATTCAGAACCGTTTAAACTATAATAACAGCTAACTTCATCATTTTCCGAATGAAGTTCTTGATTGATTTGCATATTCTTTTGTGTTATGGAGCTGGATCCTTCACCAAAATTATCTCCATCCACTATATTATTCTCTATAGGATTTAACCCGCTTGATTTTTGTCATTCCGATTCCCTTAACTTCCTCCAGAGTAGTAGTGGGTCACGACTCGTCCCAAACAACTTGTACCCTTCGCGGTTTTCTTACGCAAGCTTTCCCTTGTGAAGCAAGGAAGATACTTTGCGACTTCATTATACATTCTGTTCCTAGCTTATTGATCGTTAAGCCTACTATCGCTATCCATAATATCTTTGACATTTTTTTTTCGAATCTTTCTGCATAACAATACCAGCACTAAATTTCCTGATAGGCTTTAATCACACGTTTTCCCGCTCGGATCCCTTTTGGTATAATCAGACGATATTGAATTCTCGGACCCCTCATTATCGTCAACCTCGGTGAGCTCCCCCTTGATAGGCGTGAGTAATTCTTGCAACAAATCTTGTACTTTATCCTGCTCACAGAAGATGGTTGTTCGGGCTTGCGTATTGGCGGTTGGCTTGGCTCGCTGACTTATGTTGCATTATGGAACTTGTTCTTGCTAATAGTTGCATTGTTTCTGTTATCCGAAGTTGTTGATTTGTCTGCCTTTCGTGGTCCGCAAAAGGAGAATCATTTACCAATACCATTTCCTTCATTAGTACTAAATTATCATTGTCGTCATCTTCTATATTATCTACCTTCGCTGGATGGATTCGATTTCTGCGGGTGTTAGTTCCTTCGGGTTCTTTCTTAGAGACGGTTTCAATGGATTCGTGCATATAGGACATTTTGTTCGTTAAATAAAATCCATTTTTCGATGCAAGTTCGATGTAATATGTGGCCACAAGATAGCACGGATTCAACTTTGGTATCTGTGTATGATTCGTAAAAAATTTAACGAGTGCTTGAAGTGGACGGTTTCCACGCTGGCGAATTTCGGTGAGTCGATGGCACTAATGTGCCTGGGATAGTGTCCAGTTTACTGCATTTGATTCTTTAAATTTTGTAAATACTGCATGTGAACTAATAAATATGCGATCATACGAAATCGATGGTTGTCAATTTTTTTGTCTTACCGATGCGTATATCATCGATTTTGTATTTGTATTGAAGTACTTTTAATGGCTGGTCACCGATTCTGCAACTGAAGCCATGGTATTTTGAGGAATCTGTAAAGATTTTTACATTTTATTGCATGTGCGTTATAGCGCCAGGTCATTTACCAAGAGTATATATAGGGTTAGGGTAACGGGTTTAGTGATACGGGCCGATGAAAAACCTGTGGGCTGGGGGTTGACAACAATAAGACTCGGGCGGGTCGACCGGGCTGACCTTTCTGCAATATATAATTCTTTAGCCAATCAAATCGCAAGAACATCATATAACATTATATCGTTTATATTATTTATTGGTCTTGTGATTTGATTTGCTATTTTTGCAGAATATTTATTTTGAAACTAGAGATATCTCGAAACTATTATGGCTTATGTCATAACTAGTTACGACATCTCTATTCAAAACGGAAGTTTTTATCACAGTTCGAGCTAGATTAAACTTTGGCGAATAAATTGGGCTGACTTCAAAACATGTACAGTGGCCTCCCAGAATATTGTGGACACTTTTTAAAATACAATAACACAAAAACCAATAAAAAAGCAAGATTTATGATTCTAAGCTAATAGAATTATTGAAATATATTGTACATTATATCAAAATTTCAAGTGATTTCAATAACTACAGTACGGGTCACTTAGTTACCACAATTGGCCAAATCTTTAAGACCTACTAACTCAACAATCTGAACTTTTCCAGTCAAAAAATATGTAATGTTGTAGAGTCAATAAACTATTGATTTATATATTTTCTAATTATTTTGAGAGCTCTGATATAATTTGAAGTTAATTTTTTTGTGTAATAACTAAGTGATTTACACTATAGTTCAATATATATATATAAATATAAATAAAATTTAGCATCAAACTGAAAATTTACATGAAAAAAATATTTTATTTTATAAAGATACAAATATCTTTTTATTTAGTAAACCAAATTAAATAATTTTATATCTCCAAATTCATCAAGTCAAGATGTATTTAATGATATCAAAATTATATAATTTGAATTACTAGATGCAGAGATATAATATCTCAAAAATATTATACAAAAATCAGGGTAAAAAAATATTTTAAAGAAAATAATTTTTGCAAATATCTCTGTATATAGTAAATCAAATTGGATGATTTTAATATCACTAAATTCACTTAAACAAAATAAACCTGATAATATCAAAATTAATAGTTTGGTTAATTAAATACAGAGATATTCACAAAAATTTATTTTCTTTAAAAAATTTTATCTTGATTTTGTACATTATTTTTAATATTATTAGATATATTTTAACTGATGAATTTGCTGATAAAATTTATTTAGTAAGAATTATAAATTTTGTTTTTTATTGATTTTTGTATTATTATATTTTAAAAAGTATTCATAATATTCTGAAAGATCACTGTATATGTATTATTATTATCTTAATTATAGTCATATCTCTCTATAGTTATCCTATTTTGCTTTCTCATTTATATATAAATATAGTAAAAAACTCTCTTTATAGTCATATTTTCTTTATAGTTACCAAATTTTGCTTTTCTGAGGATGGTGACTATAGAGAGATTTGATTGTATATTACTATTAATTTCTTTTATTTTAGTCTGGAATAAATATTAAATAGATCAAAATTTGTTTTTAGAAACAATAAATTATGTACTGTATCTAATTGATTTCATTTTTTATGTTACCTATATCAAAAAATAACTATTCAGAGAGTACTAAAGTTGCTGGAAAAGCAAAAAATTTTTGAGCTAATGTTGCTAAATTTGAATATTCTTTTTGATATTGCTATCATTTTGATGGGGCTTTCGAAATACTCAAAGATATTTATAAAATTTAAGGAATATTCAAAGAGAAACTTCTGATGTCTTAATGATAATTCAAAGTATTAATAATACTTTATAACTATTAGACTGAATGTGAATAAGTACTAAAAGTATTAGTAATAAAATCACTTAAAGATTGGTAATAGTTGTGTTCTTTTAACACAATAACTGAACTGTTTAAAAAGAGTTCTCAAAATTTTAATATCAAATATAATATACATATTAAAATGTCTTTAAATCTTTGAAGTTAAATATAAGATATAATATTCATATTATCAGCAATACAAATCGAAGATAAATGTATAAACAATATATTATTAGCAATACAAAGTTAAAGATAAATTTATGAACAATGTATTATTAGTAATACAATCTCAAAGATAGATTTATGAATTATAATAATAATTCTTTTATTTAATATAATATTCAATAGACTTCGTCACAACGTTGTTACAGTGCGATATTAGAATATAAAAGGTAGTCGATATGCCGTGGTCACGTGATATTTATTGTGATCGCAACGTAACGTAAG